ACCAAAAACCGAGTTAAAATGTTGCATTTTTTAGTGAAATACGTAGTTAAGTACAGACTAACGTAACATTAACGCGGAATTGCCCAAATGTGTAATATCAAAGACATATTACAGCGCTTTTCACTGACAATACACACCGCACTATTACTGCAAATTAAAGGTAGGCCTACTCACCAAACTACAGTAGATTACATCAATTGTTGTGCCTTACTGTATCTAGATATGAGTACGGTAATCAGTTATCTTCATCTGTTTCCCGTTACTTGCCCAATACGCACTTTCTAAATTACGTTCAATGTTCATAATTTTTGTCACAATTTCACTGCTGGCTCCCCTGGATTCGTAAAACAAGTTCACAACCCTAATGGCTTCAAGCGCGTCACTCACAGTAGGGATGGAGACTTCGGAACATTCTTCTCCTCCCTCCTCATCTTCCTCCTCTGTATCCTTCTTCACTTCCGATACATTATCGTCGTCTGTTTGTGCCTCCGTTGTAACAATGTTGTCTATTGTTGCATATGCCTCATAGTCACACTGACCTAGTTTTCTTTTCATTGCCATGTTTTCGCTACTGCACTTCTCTGGGTTTAGGCAGGAACACTATAGGGTAAGTAGACAATGTGAGGTCCTGTTAGACGAGATTCTAGGAAAGGAATGCAGTTAACAACCTGCCGCGTCCTCTTGCACTATTCACGCAGTCCCACCCCACACCCTTGTTTTCGCATAAAACCCACGCTCCTCTTGCAGCCCGCTGTCGTATTCTTCCAGGACAGTCACGTCAGCAAGTAGAGAAAGTGAGGGTGGGCAGACACATCGAACTTTTCCACGATATCAGAGAAATTCAGGAATGAAAATGACGTTACATACGAGGTTGATGCATTTGTGCATGTCCTACTAAGCAAGGTATAAAAACAGTTGCTTTATGAGGAATTAGTTCGTACCATTGAATATTTGACGCAATAGACAAGGTGTCGCAGAAACCGATGTTGCTATAACCAAGTTTTACTGTTCTTCATCTGGGAAAAAGTTTGTTCACACAGATATGTCGTCCCAGAAATGGAGATAGATTTACAAGCAAATATTTTTTAAATTTGGAAATTGCTCAGACTTCAGAAATTTATAAAATTCGATTAAATTTCCTTTATTTTATTTGTCTTTAATATGATAATTTTCCTGAAGTTCAATAATTTCCATTTTAATTTGACTTGGACATCTGCAGCATCACAGTCAAACGGATTTTGAAACAATCTAATTTCCTGAGCACTGGCATCCAAATCAGCAAATCGCTTCCGAAATTGTTCTTTAAAATCTAAAATTGTTAATAATATTAATATTAACAAATCATGGAATATCAATATAATTTAAACACAATCTTTATTAACGAATTTGAAATCTATGAAGAAGTATTTTCTTCAAAAGTACTCTTTGGAAAATTAGTTCAATCGGCCCATTTCTGCACAATTCTTTCGCGGGCCGGATAAAATCACATCGCGGGCTGGATGTGGCCCGCGGGCCGTAGTTTGGAGACCCTTGATCTAGACAATCTGCTCAATGATGGCGGTAAGCTTGTCAGGCTTACGCACCAGCCGCGCTTTACTCCCCAGGAAAATTATTTAATTAATTATTGGTACTCATTTCTGTTAGAGGCAGAGTCAACCCCAGGGCCATAGTGCGGCTGAAAGGATTAGGATAATTTCGGAGGCTGCATTCCCGAATCCTCGTTAGCTCCCCACGATGTTACGTTCGTCCAGCAGGGTTTCACAGGACGCGAGCCTTTCGAGACACTTATACGCCGCGTTTGACGAGGGTTTACTGTTTTCCAAATAAATGTTCTTAAACCTTGTAATTTCGTTTCCTAATATGGTCAATGAATATATGTTGGTTGTGAACATTGAAACCACAGTATTATACAGAACTTTCGGAACAATTAATTCAGTTTCATCTAATCACTATTAAAGTTTGTTGTTTTCTTTCTTAATTTGGACACTGACTTGATGTCGAATTTAACACATTGAAACCAAATTATCATATACAGAATTTGCTATAAACATGCGGCTCTTTATTTTTAGATACCACACTTAAAAATGTAAATGGAATGCTATTTTTTTTTCTCAAAGAATAATATATTTTGCCAGCACAGGGCCGTGCTGACAGGAATCCTTATGGTTTTCTTCAGTTTTTCCAGGCAGATTCCTTCCCGATACCTTAAGAATGAGGCCTTCTACACTTCATTGAATATCATTTAGTCACTCTGCGCTGTATGGTCTTATTTACTGTCAGCGCCGTTAAGCTACAAATGGGCCTAAGCAGGAGTGGGTTGTGCTGTAACCAGTGGTTTTGAATATGCACATTTATTTCCAACTACCGAAGGCATTTTCTAGCCACTTCCAGCGAATGCAATTGTTATGATAGGAACAGAAGTGTGAGATGTGTTTACATGTATACAGCACCAAGTAGCAGTGAGAGAGCTGTGCAGACTAAGTGAGCTACTGATCGATCTGTTTATTCTTGTGGCCCCTAATTCGTTTCATAGTCTCTGCTCCTCATCTGCAGAAGGAACATGAAGAACGAGAGAGTCTGGTTCATCATCTGTGGGAAAACAAAGAAAAGAGTTACGTGCTTGCATAAGTAGCAGCTGTTTCTTTCGGATTGCTAAGTTTCTGGACTTCTTTCCGTCGTCTGATGTTTGGAAGAAACTCAACGTTTCGGAAAGTGAGCTTACTTTCGTACTCAAATGAAAGTGTGATTTACATTAGCTCTTTGTAAAGGACCCAACTGAGAACGTAGTCCACACTTTTCCACATGAGGACGGGAACAGACTTAGTTTCCAAATTGTTTTGTTCTTTGAGGCTCTCAGAAAATGGGCTTAGTCCAGAGACTCAGTGCTCCCTTAGTGCCCTTGCAACCCTTCCGAGGACAGGAAGAGACTCAGTTTCGAAAGTGTTTCGTTCTTTGAGGCTCTCAGAAAATGGGCTTAGTCCAGAGACCCAGTGCTCCCCATTGCGAGATAGTACCCTTGTAACCCTTCCACATGAGGACAGGAACAGACTCAGTTTCGAAAGTGTTTTGTTCTTTGAGGCTCTCAGAAGATGGGCTTAGTCCAGAGACTCAATGCTCTCCAGTGCGAGATAGTACCCTTGTAACCCTTTACAACTGAGTAATTTGTTTTATTCAGATTTAACCTTTTGAACTGTTTTCTTTATTCATATTGAATTATATATTATAAATATATTAGCAAGGTAATTAAATAAAGTACAATATTTAGCACCAACCGTTTCTATAAATATGAAAGAGTTAAAATTCATATTCATGTAAAACTGAAAATTTGGGGCATTAGAAATATGTGCTTCCTGCATTTTTAATTCTATGCGTCCATTTATATTCTTTCGTTACTTTTGTCATGGTACATCTACATAAAAAACCTAAAAAACTTTCATATTATTTAACTTTGTCCGTTTTTTTTTTTTCATGATCACAATTGCTGCGAAGTGTTGTGTTAATGCTGAAGATTGAATGTTGATATGATCAGGTTTCTGTGAGGTAGGGCACCATGTATGCCAGATAAGTCTCAGGCAAGGAGTCTAATGTTCCTTGCACGAATATTTTCCTCCCTTCCTTTTAGGAATTCTCAGGCATGAGCATCAAGTAAATATCCGCTAGGAGTGTGAAATACAGAACACAAGGATGGAGGGAATACATGGGAATGTTGGCGGAAAAAGAAATACATGATTAATTTGAAGTGAAAATAACTTAAGGAAAGTCGGCTTTGAAGACCTAATAGTAGATTTTGGACTAACATTAAAGAAAAAGTAAGGGAAATAAGTGTAGAGGGTAGGAGGTAGATGAAACTGACAGAGACTATGTCTAAGGGCGGTTTTCTGTAACGTGGTGTTGAAATTTCTGCTTCTGCATCCACATTTGAATTAAGACTGAATATTTTACTAAAGTTACAAGCATTTAAAAATAATTCATAACTTTTTACGTGTATTTAACGCGGTATTCGTACTGAGGCTTATAACATTACTCCTTCTAATTAAGAAAATTCCCAGTTTTGTTAATGCAGTAGATGTTGTGTTGTATTATTTTTTGTGCATTTCCTTTCTCGATATGCACTAATATTGGGATAGTAGTGGTGAATATGCAACAACTATTCATTTCTACACATTTCAATTCTTATTATTAATAATTATTACATATCATGTTAGTGGAAGTTATATGACGAAACATTTGAAAAGGCACCAAAAATGGAATCAATTGAGACTCACGTATGCTTGCTTTGAAACTGGATTTCTAGTTTAAATCATTTGGAAAAAGTGAATTGTGAAAGATTGTAATTATATTTGAGTTCAGTCTCACCGTAATATTGCATTATCTTATCATGCAGAAGGTAAGTTATTGTCCTTCTGAAATTTCAGTAAAGATATACTTATCTTATCATTCTTGAAATTTATTAAAGATGGTTTGTCTTAACCTTCTGGAAGTTCATTTTTTTATCATTCTGAAAGTTTTTATAAAGGTAAAGAGCAAGTCACGTTTGGACGAAAGGGGGGGGGGAGTGTAAGGACGGATGTTTATTAGCCTCTGAACCAGGCATAGGTAAAGGGGATGGCTTCAACTACCGTTGCTTTATCATCGGGGCTTAAGTCCCTCATTCCCCTCATATGTTAGACTGGTCAGACCTCATCGCCGTTCTGGACAACGTTACGGGAACAAAATCCGGTGGGTCAGCTTATATTCAGGCGAACCCTCTCCTAAATATATACTATTACTATTAATTTTACTTAATGGCGTCTCAGGTTGTACAGTGATCCATAAGAATTATATTAATCGAGAATGAACGAAACGTGTATATTATATTAAAAAGGCGCATTCAGTTCCACTAAAATTAAAATAATTAAATAATTACTGCAGTCTTCCCAATTCGAACTTCCAAGGCTTTTTTATGCATTATGAACATATTATGAGAGGACAGAAGACCATGTACTTACATTCATCATTGTCTTGTTTGATACAGGAACAAATTTCCCTGCGGTGAGTGTGAACTCCTTGTTGGCTGTGGCGATGATGAAGGCCAGACAGCGCTGAAATGGGACAGGGGTTCCCACCCAGTCGCACCCCCACGCAGCGTCTTTCACATTTTCGGCCTGGACAGTTATACATTAATGAAATGACGTGGTATAAGGTAAGCTGTGTATTTGTACAAATGAAATACAGCATGTATTCTTACTTGTTCTGAGAGCTCATTTCCAAGCCAGCAGATTAGACACACATAGCCCGTCATAACAGCATAAAGAAATACAGCTTGGGCTACATCAGCGTGTTTTCCCCAGCACTGTAGGAGCAAAATTATTGTATTCATTAAGTTCTGTCAGCGATAAGTAATAACTAATCAGATTTAAAACAATCTCTCGAAATGAAAAACCTCAAATTGAAGTAAGGGGAATTTGGATTTTTTAATTTTGTCCGGTATTCTAAAAGAAACTAGAATACACAGTGTCCACAGATGTCAATAGTGACAAAGAAAAGTGGTTCCAAAACATTATCCAGTTAAACCTAAGCATTTTTTCCAGTGCTCTGCTTTGTTGGATAAGTTTCTGGCGTAATACTTCCACCTCTTATTCGATGTTAGTGTCGAATCTGGAAGTTATACCAAATTTATAATGTCATTTATCGTGTTACATCCCATTGACAAAGTCTGGTCTAAGGTATTCTTTTAACTTAAGTTATTCTGACTTATATTTTTCAGTGATTAACCTTAGCTCCTTCTAAGGGACCCAACAGAGTAGGTGTGTTCCCCCTCACCTGAGGACAGAAACAGATCCAATATCCGAAATATTTCTAGCTTTCCAGAGCACCTGTCGTTGAGATAATTTCCAAAAGCGCAGTAATGTGGTGTTGTATAAACCATCATCAAAACCCTTTACAATATAACTGTACCCGTTACCTTTTTTAAACTCTGTTAGTTTTTGCTCGCGTCATATATTATTGAAATAAGATGAAAATAATTATTTGAAAATTTAATAGCTAATTCCACGAAACAACACTAGTTTCGATGCTGGTAGTAGCCGAAATACAAAAGAATTACTCGTTTTCAGCAACCAAAATTTTATTTCCGTTATTGTGGGAACTACTTTTTGGACCTATTCTTGAATTTGCATACCATTATGAAATTAGTAAATATAACTAATGAGAAGAACTGTTAAAATAATGAAATATAAATTCGGAAGGGAAAACTGATTTTAAATTCACACATTAATGAACTCGGAAACTTCGTGTTAATGATAATAATCACATAGTATAGTACGAGTATAATAAATAACTATTTACAAAATTGCATTTAACGACGTGAACTGTTTTCTGTTTCTCTGAAATATAATGAGTACTTTACCATAATGGCTGAGAAAGCGTTGAAACACATAGCTGATAGAAGCACCAGAAAAGTACCGCACAGTAGAATATTCCAACACTCTTCAGTGCTCTGCATGAACCTGCTCGAATAGATAAAAGATTAATATTAAATAATGTTTGATCACCTTGGGTCAAGTATCAATATAAATCACCACTAGTTCTTACCGTTTTATCTCCTGATGGTGACGTATGCAGTTGTTGATTTGTTTCTGCATGTGACGGAACAGTTCCTCTGAGGCACGAGAGTGTCCTTGTGCCTCCAGTAGGTCAGCCTGTGTCCCACAGTCCCTCTCTGCTGTGACGTGTATCTGTCTGATATCCAGTAGGGCCGCTCTGAGCTTCTCCAGCTGACTGCAGGCTACACACACTAGAATGGCGTACAGGCTGAAGCACCCAACAAATATGCATGCGGCGCAGAGGGAAGCAATGGCCTGTGAAAGATGAACGTTAATTCGTTTGTAAAGGAACAAGTTCAAAGATGAACTAGTTACTTTTGGGAATTATTAAAATATTACTCGAGAATTCCTCCCTCATTACTGGATAACATATACATACAGAAGATATGTAAATATTTTGAGGACATATAATTTCACATGGCGTCGGGTAGCAAGTAAACGGTCTTCCATGTGACGTCGTATAATTTGGTAGCTAAATGTTAACTTATTAGTGAGATCTAATGCCAAAATACTATCATTTTGAAGTGAAACCTGTGTTAATTATTTCTTCTCGAAAAATATTGTGTAAAAATTCATAAACTCTTACTTCATTATATCTATGTAGTCTGTCTAATTTGTCCCAAAATGAAGATAATGTAGTTACATACGGTATCATTTTACGCTATGAAATTAATTTATATCCTCAATAATATCTTGTATTGAGTATAACCGAAGGAGTTCGAATGGCTCTTTTGTGGAGGAATATCTACATATTATCGGATATTTTTGACAAATTTCCACCTAAACAACTGTCATTGTTACTTACATATTTCGATTGCACCCATCAGTTTTGTAAATATTCTGGGTTATTGAAGATAACAGTTTAATGTTTGATATTAACTGCATCAGCACAAAGATTATCATGGCTTGGCCACTTAAAGCAAATCGCCAAACAGATCAGTTAATAGCCTGTACTCATGGAAACCACTAAGTACAAGACCAGTGGGCAGACCGAAAATACATTGGGGGGGATGATGTTAAAGCTGACATTAAGAAGGTGAATGTACCAAATTGGAAGATAACAGTCCAGGACCGGACCAAGTGGTAAGGTCTACCTGAGTTATAGCGTCAAAATAGAAGAAGAAGATTACCTGCGACAAGTTTACCAGTTCATAAACAGGGCTCACAGTAGCATCGAAAGGGTACCATTTGGAGTAGATCATGTCATGACTAATGATCATGCGTACAATGCATTGCGTTCCGTGAAACACAGCTATGAAGACCATCATATATTTTACAATGACTGGAATCTTCGGGACCAATCCAGCGTGTGTTGCATATCCAGTGTCAGGATGTATGGCTGGCAGTTCTTCCCAGGTAAAATATTCCGTCAGAGTAATCAGATGATTCATGTCATGTTTACGGAACCTGAAGGAGAGATATTACAAGAACATAATTCAGCAGTCACATAATTCAAAAGATATAACTGACATATCTGAACGAGGAGAGTTCTGCACATCTTCACCGAGTTCATCATCATGATAAATGATATAAACTCCGTCTCAAGTGCAAACAATATATTTGTGTCTTTGATCTTGCTCCCTACACTACATGTTTCGGCCTCAGACGGCCATCATCAGGTGTATAACACTCACGTCGCCGTCACACTGCACCCAGTCCAAAATCTAACATCTAAAACACTCTCCCTGTCATTATCAACTTCTACCTCGTTGATAGCTGTCCACCCGTAGACTACTTCACACACGTCAATTTTGAGTTTATTGTAATAGCACCACAATAAAATCTTTAGTTCTAATTTTAAACTTTTAAATTCTTGTCCAAATTTGTCCAAACATGTAGTGTAGGGAGCAAGATCAAAGACACAAATATATTGTTTGCACTTGAGACGGAGTTTATNACATCTTCACCGAGTTCATCATCATGATAAATGATATAAACTCCGTCTCAAGTGCAAACAATATATTTTTGTGTCTTTGATCTTGCTCCCTACACTACATGTTTCGGCCTCAGACGGCCATCATCAGGTGTATAACACTCACGTCGCTGTCACACTGCACCCAGTTCAAAATCTAACATCTAAAACACTCTCCCTGTCATTATCAACTTCTACCTCGTTGATAGCTGTCCACCCGTAGACTACTTCACACACGTCAATTTTGAGTTTATTGTAATAGCACCACAATAAAATCTTTAGTTCTAATTTTAAACTTTTAAATTCTTGTCCAAATTTGTCCAAACATGTAGTGTAGGGAGCAAGATCAAAGACACAAATATATTGTTTGCACTTGAGACGGAGTTTATATCATTTATCGTATGGAGTGCAACAGGATGCTTAAATATAATATTGTAAACAGAGTTCATCATCATTCAGAACGAGTGAAAAGTCAATTGAAAATTAAACAGCAAGCTTTCCAATTATTTATAGAGACACAATTATGAAGTTTGCAAGCCGGTTTTCAGAGGTGAACTAGGATATTTTTTACATCTTGTAACCCACGAATTCCATTCAGGGTCATGTGGAGAAGGAAGCTTATACATTAAATATTGTAATTGAGAATATATTCATCTTCTATCGAAATAAATCGTCTTATTGAATGCCAATTCCTAAAATATTTAAATTGCTAAGTTAACGTTGTTCAGAGCGGAGGAAGACCCGTTAAATAAATGTTTCGGTTCTATAATTAATATAAATATATTGTATATAATTGTATCAGATGGCCAGTATCTCTACATTGAAACGTTTCCCATTGTAGAATTACAGATATCTTATTTTATATTGCGTATTCCGTTGTAGAAGCCAGGTTTATCCACAGTTATTAGAAAACGGAAAAAAAATCACTTCTTTGTACCCACACCAATGAAGTGGCAGATAGCCTCAATAGCCACCCTGCATACTACGGACGTTTTCATTGTTATCACATAAAATAGAATGCGCACGTTTCACAATTATAAAAGCTAATCATACGAGTTAATTATGGCAATTATAACATTAGGGATCCCTAATATAATGGCGATAATGAGGTTGTTGAAAAGTAGAAGCAATTTTTTTAGTATAAGTGAAATTCTTGGACACTGACATGCACTGGTTGTTATTCATACATATTCTCCCTAATCGTTGAGTTCAAGTTAGACGCAATCCTATGTATTCGCAAACTCCAAGGTTTGAAATCAGAGATACCTGGTTGAGGCCTGCATTTGACTGGTTAGCGTGCTTGCTTTGTTTAATCTTCGACAATGAATTTGAAAGCTATGGCTTCATTTGCAGAATTGGGAACTACTGGGCGTGGCGTTCCTGTATATAATAATCATAAGAGTAACAACTCGAAAAACCCCAAATTCAACAGACCATAACAGTTTATTTGAATATATTTAAACAGGAATAATTTAAGCTTCAGTTACCTGAAGGAGATATCCATCACTGTCACGAATATAATTGCAAGAAACACTCGAATGCTCTTCATCACCTCTTCGAAGTTATTTCTATTAACATAAACGTCCATAAAAGACGAAGCCACTGTAACGTAATAGCACACTGCACTGGTGATATTATGTACGCTTTGGACTCTTGATACGGAATAAGTATTGAGTGGAATCCCCGTCAGTTTGAACAACAGCAGAATTGTGCCGAAACGACGTTGAGAGAGGTCTCTTTCACTCTTCAGAGTAACACACTCCATTCAAGAGATAAATTTGTGTTAGCTATGGACTATGAACTTTGCACTTGTATCCGAAGTTTTCTATGTACGCATGTCTTTCTGGTAGCTGAAGCGAGGTGTGACTGGGCGTTTTGTCGTCAAGGAGTTGTGCTGCAGAGGCCAGTCAATTGAGTTATTGATTGGTCATGAACACTTTCATTCGGAGGGGATTGTAACTCTGATCATGCGTACCAAAACAGAGTGGGGACTGCGTACAGAATTTCCTCAAGTTTCATCTAACTTTCCCGAATGTCACGAGAAAGTACGTGGAATTTCGATTTCGGTGTTCTTCATTAATTTATAACAACAAGAAATTCAAATGCCGGTATGAAGCGGGAAGTGTCTGCTAGTTGCATTAGCGCACGTAGGGGAAGAACTATCGGATTAAAAGCAAATAAATAAATATAGAATTACCTCCAGGGGCTCGTCAAAATTTTACGAAGCTCTTGTTCCATAGAAATCTTCATCTTCTACAATTTTTTTCCTTGCCCTTCTCTCGTCACTTCGCCCGCACAATAAAAAACACAAACAAGTTCCCAATTTTAATATGTAAATTTAATTCAGTATTTAAAAATCATATAAAGAAATTTTCCCATTTTTAAGTTAAGAAACGCTGCTTTAGTTTTCAGTAAACTTCATATTTGGCGATTTGGTCAAGAACAAATGTCAGATAACAAAGCAGCAAAACCGTTAGTCATTGCATTACTTAACCTCATGCGAACATTTCATAGGGTACTAAAACAAATGTTCGTGATAATGGAAAAGTATAAAATAACGAAACATTATTTAATTAACATACGGAAGAAATACTAAAAATATTTCAAAATTATACTGAATAACTAATGTACTTTTAAATGTCCATTGATTTTCAAGAAATTCCTATATGTTGAGTTTCGTTTGAAGTAACTGGAATTAACTTAAATTCAATTTAGAATAAAACTTACTTTCTCGTGCGCAGTAACAACTGATTCTTAAGAAAACTAACTTCTGTCGGTTTTCAACTCCTCGTCTTCCGTGTAATGTGATTAGAATAAAAGTACAGGCAGCAAAAGTGCGATATTTCCCACAGGAGAACTGCGAGTTCGTATCCCGGACGCTCTCATCATCAGTCCATGAGATACACACTTCCGTATCCCTGATTGTACTAGGTGGTAGAAAGCTGTGAATGCGTAGACATATGTCATAACTTTCTGAAGGTGCGGTATCCAGCCCGCTAGTGTCCGGTGTCCGGTGTGAGGGTTTCTGGTCGGCTGGTCTTCCCATGTGAAGGATTCCGTGAGGCGAAGCAGGCGCTCAAAATCACGTAAACACAAGAAGAAACGCACGGCGTAAACAGAAATGTTGAATATTACGAGTATAACCATTTTTGATGACCTCGTGTAGACTTGTAAGTCGCTTACGTTTCTAGAAGAAAGGACTACCTCCACCTTCAGAACGCAGTCGAATATAGGAGACATGTAACTCACTGAATGTTCTCACTCGCTCTAAGACATTGTTTCTCGTAGTCAGAGCTTGTTTGAAGGTCTGTTCGTGTTTTGAAACCTCGCTAAACTCTTCTAAGGCGTGTGGCGTGTGTAGTGATTTATTATCCTTTGAAATAAGGTCAGGTTAATTTTTCATATTCGAAAGCGGTTCAGTGGCAGTTTTACACAGAGCTCACTTCCCTACTGTAACTATATATTGCAGGCATATTGATTGAGAAAACCATTCAGAACTACAGTTTCATATTGGGATCGGTTTTTGTTTACAGTGTTTTCTCGAAGCCACTTATCTGCTGTATGTTTTACCTGGCGTTAAGTAATGCATCGGGTCAGAAGAACTCTTTGACATTTGACCTACCTTGAACAGAGTTGCAGTCAGTACGGTTCTTGGGAATTCTTCAAGTCATCATTGTGAATGATAATATCCATATAAAATGCGAGCCACATCCCGTAAGCATTGATTGTCATCGAGACGTTGTAGATGGAACGAAGGTATGGACGAATTCTTTACGTTGAATGGGACGCCTGCCATTCTCAGGAACGTTAAAACGACACAAAAGCTATTCTCCGTGACATCACACGCCTGCGGTTCCTTAGTGTTCATCATCAAATTTATCAAATACATACGGATATCGGAGCAGAAAATGTTGTTACACGAACACGTCAATCTAAGCGACAATGGACACACGGATGTCTAATACACAGGCGCTTCACGGTTCAACTGAAGTGCACAAGGTTTACTTCAGCACACCTGCCTAAGGAAACTGGGTCAGCCAGTGAACATGGGTGCTCTTTGCCATGCAATAATAATGAGGCACGAACTTTGTTTCCGTCTTTTGGTTTCTTCTGCGTTTGCGTGAGTGAAGTGGACTCAGGAGCCGAATGACTTTCACTGAAAACTTTTATTTTATAAAATATTATTTTATTAACGAAAGGAAGAATTTCTTATGCCACGAGTTCATGAAGTTGAGCCGGTTTCTCACCCATCTCTAGAGATTATTTTTTTTATTGTGATTGTGGAGCAATTGGTGGAATGAAAATTGACAGGGGAAACCGAAGTCCTTGGAGAAAACCTGCCCCATCGTCAAATTGTCCATCACAAATCCAACTTGACCAGCCCTGGGATCGAACCCGGGCCGCCTCGGTGGGAAGCCAGCGACTAACAACTTGAGCCATGGCGCGGCTGTGGAAGGAAAGTTACAAAAGACACATTGTGCAAGGCGGTTCGGAGTGTTCCGAGTTCTGAAAAATCGTTTCCACCGTATCTGACAAACATGCCTATAGAAACATAAGGAGCTGTTTTCATGTCTGAGCGTAGCCAGTAATGCATTTAGTTCCGAGCATTCTTTAGATCTTTTATTTTAAAGTCTAAATTTCCGTTGATATTTTCATTTAATGCCTAACATTCCTATGACACTCTACTATGTTTCGCAGTCTGTTTATAGATACGTACAGGTCATTACACTGTATTATGATGTTTTTGTGAATTTTTATTTTCGGGGGCCGTGTTCATGTGCCCCCGTTATTCCCTGCAATGGTTCACAGGACGCGGCCCTTTCGAGGTCCTTATGCACCGCATTGGGCGAGGGTGTGCTAAGTTCGAAACAAAAGTTTTTAAAGTGTGTCATTTCTTTCCTAATGTGGTCACTGACCTCACGTTGGGTTCAGAACATTGAAACCACAGTTTTATACAGAGCGTTTGGTATAATCATATTGTTGTTTATTTTTAGTTTTCAAATTTAAATTTTTAATGGAATATTTCGTGGGTTTCTTCAGTCCCCTCCGACAATTGCGATGACTATAATTTAAAAAATGAGGCCTTCAACAGCTTCTCCAATTAATTCAGTTTAATCCAATTCCTCGACGCTTTAGAGCGTAAGTTACTTCCAGCGTCGTTAAACTACAGATAGACGAACATAAAACTGTGTAATTTATTGTGAAATTGAATATTTTGAATTTGTACGTTTATGTCTAACTTTCAAAGATAATTTTAGTCTTGGTAAAAAATATAATGCGAAGACAGATTCTTGGTAAAGAGTCAGCTGCTAGGTCACACAACATTAGGAAGAATATTTATAGCTTGTTGCTAGACAACAGTCAGCGCGCCAATGAACTGTGCGAGATAGATTTCACGTGCCTTGTTTTTAGTGTGGTACTCTCTTCGCCCAGTGCTAAGCAACAGAACTGTAAAGACGTCTACAAATATAGGTGTTTTCTATGTGGTCCGTGCTGAGTGTTTATAGGGGACAGTTCAGAGCAACACTGAGTCAGGAAGTCTCAAATTTGAGACAGTAATATATGGTGTTGAGTATCAAGGGCCTCGGACCCGAGAAAGTCTTCGCTGGCAAGGATCAGCAGCATATACAAAAAAAGACCCGTCCACTCGACAGAGAGGGCGGTCCCTAAAACATGACCGTAACTGTCAAACAGTAATAAATATCTGGTCATGTGCCCCAGGAGGGTGCTCGACACCAAGACTTACTGCCTGAGTAGCCGTCAGTCGCAGTGTGACTTTGATTTGAATTAGGAGTCAGTCGTAAGTTAGAGGAGTGAGTCCAGAAGAGTTTTCAGTTTATTTCCCAAGTTCCAGAGTAACTGAAGACGAAATAGATATAAGGCATCATAGTGATCTGAAGTGCTACTTCGTGTATTGAAATCCGTTGCCGGGAAACGACTAGTGATGGCAGAGAATCCGGATGCGTTTGCAGCGGTGAACTGTAAAATATGTAAATCAACGACTGCACTATATTAACTGTGGTGAAGGAGAGTGTAACAGAAGAGGCATTAAATCTAATCATCAGAACTACAACCTGTCATTTTCGTCACGCGTTCCCCCATACACGTGACAGTATCATTAGAGTATAATTGTGATTTTCACGTGCTTTAACTTTCCGCGGTTGCGTTACCGTATCCCATATAGTGCTAAATGATATTAAGTCCTATCCGCACGGTTTCACAGAATCCGGTACTTTCAAGCAAGTTTCCCTGCGCGTTGGACGATGACTTCCTCTACTCGAAATGAATATTTTTAAAGTTTGTTATTTTCTTTCTTAATTTGGACACTGACTTGATGTCGAATTTAACACATTGAAACCAAATTATCATATACAGAATTTGCTATAAACATGCGGCTGTTTATTTTTAGTTACAACACTTTAAAATGTAAATGGAATGCTATGTTTTTCGCAAGTAATACGAGTAATATATATTCTGCCAGGACAGGGCCGTGCTGTCAGCAATCCTTTCTTCTTTTCTTCACCCTTTCCAGGCAGATTCCTTCCCGATACCTTAAGAATGAGGCCTTCTACACTTCATTGAATATCATTTAGTCACTCTGCGCTGTATGGTCTTATTTACTGTCAGCGCCGTTAAGCTACAAATGGGCCTAAGCAGGAGTGGGTTGTGCTGTAACCAGTGGTTTTGAATATGCACATTTATTTCCAACTACCGAAGGCATTTTCTAGCCACTTCCAGCGAATGCAATTGTTATGATAGGAACAGAAGTGTGAGATGTGTTTACATGTATACAGCACCAAGTAGCAGTGAGAGAGCTGTGCAGACTAAGTGAGCTACTGATCGGTCTGTTTAATCTTGTGGACCCTAATTTGTTTCATAGTCTCTGTT